AACAACGATTTAATCGTGGTAAATCTGTTACACGCATCTTAAAAATCAAGGAATACGCAAGTTCTGCACTTTCTAATAAATTATACACTATTGAGCGCTTAAAATATTTAAATAAAAATTAAATAATTTAAGTGATACTCGATTCGAAAAAAAAACTGACCGGTTACTTTTCAAGCGACAAAATTATCTTTAGAGTTAAGGGTAGTTTGATTCCCAAATTTTAAACGTAAAACGAATTAAGGCTGAAGAATGAAAACTGAACTTAGAGTAGGTTTGCAATGCTAAATATGTGTTCATTTCCTAAAGCTATAGTTAAAAAGAGAAATTTGTTACGAAATCCTTCACCTGTTAAAAAAATTTCAATACATCGCCGCGCAGTTTTCTGGTCGTAAAGTCTAGTACACAACGATTCAAGCATGGTGAACCTCATGCACGCTTCTCATAAACGCATAACATTCATGTTTTGCGCCCCTAAAGAAATTCAGCCCTTTTCTGAATGAACCTTTGTCTCAAAATATTTTCTGGCCAGGTTTTCCCTGCTTTCTACCCAAGCTTCCTAGTAGCTCGCAAGCATATCATTTTATGACCGGGATGGTACTGTAACGTTACCAAAGAAAAAAACCAGAAACAAATACAAAGAGCTTGCAATTTCTTGCAACGTTTTGCTTAACAGGAAAAAAATTTGAACAGCCATAAAATATTTGACTTTCAAACTCTGGCTAAACTCCTCATAACATATCCCATTTACACTTCTAACTTACCCATCTTTCCTCGTTGAAAAAAGCTCTGCAAATGTAGAGTACAGAAATACATACACCGCATTTTCTCTTCTATAATGACCACCCTAGGGATACATGATTGAATCTCCTTTTACGACTACTACATTCTCCGACAAATTTAATAAAATTTAAACTCTTACTCTCAGACTCTGACCTTACTCTTTACAACATATACAATTTATCCTTCTAACGTACCCATTCTCCCTTGTTGACATCAGCTCAAATGAATCTTAAATGAAATTTCAACTCTTACTCTCAGGCTCTGACTTTACTCTTTATAACATATACAATTTATCCTTCTAACGTACCCCTCCTCTGTTGTTGACATCAGCTCCGTTCTCTATGAGCAACCTTACAATATCAGTGTGACCATTTTCTGCAGCCTTACAGAGTGGAATGCCCTTCAAAATATAGAAAAGAAAAACAATGAGAAAGTATAGTAATATATAAACCGCATTTTCTCTTCTTTAATGACCACTTTAAGGATATGTGGTTGAATCTGCTTTAAAGACAGCTACATTCTGCTACAAATTTAAATGAAATTTCAACTCTTACTCTCAGACTCTGACTTTACTCTTTATAACATATACAATTTATCCTTCTAACGTACCCGTTCTCCCTTGTTGACATCAGCTCCGTTCTCTATGAGCAGCCTTACAATATCAGTGTGACCATTTCCTGCAGCCTCACAGAGTGGAGTAAACTTCAAAATAAACAAAAGAAAAACAATGAGAAAGAATAGTAATATATAAACCGCATTTTCTCTTCTTTAATGACCACTTTAAGGATATCTGGTTGAATCTGCTTTAAAGACACCTACATTCTGCTACAAATTTAAATGAAATTTCAACTCTTACTCTCAGACTCTGACTTTACTCTTTATAACATATACAATTTATCCTTCTAACGTACCCATTCTCCCTTGTTGACATCAGCTCCGTTCTCTATGAGCAACCTTACAATATCAGTGTGACCATTTCCTGCAGCCTTACAGAGTGGAATGCCCTTCAAAATAAACAAATGAAAAACAATGTGAAAGTATAGTAATATATAAACCACATTTTCTCTTCTTTAATGACCACTTTAAGGATATCTGGTTGAATCTGCTTTAAAGACAGCTACATTCTGCTACAAATTTAAATGAAATTTCAACTCTTACTCTCAGACTCTGACTTTACTCTTTATAACATATACAATTTATCCTTCTAACGTACCCCCAGTCTGTTGTTGACATCAGCTCCGTTCTCTATGAGCAACCTTACAATATCAGTGTGACCATTTTCTGCAGCCTTACAGAGTGGAATGCCCTTCAAAATATAGAAAAGAAAAACAATGAGAAAGTATAGTAATATATAAACCGCATTTTCTCTTCTTTAATGACCACTTTAAGGATATCTGGTTGAATCTGCTTTAAAGACAGCTACATTCTGCTACAAATTTAAATGAAATTTCAACTCTTACTCTCAGACTCTGACTTTACTCTTTATAACATATACAATTTATCCTTCTAACGTACCCGTTCTCCCTTGTTGACATCAGCTCCGTTCTCTATGAGCAGCCTTACAATATCAGTGTGACCATTTCCTGCAGCCTCACAGAGTGGAGTAAACTTCAAAATAAACCAAAAAAGAAAAACAATGAGAAAGAATAGTAATATATAAACCGCATTTTCTCTTCTTTAATGACCACTTTAAGGATATCTGGTTGAATCTGCTTTAAAGACAGCTACATTCTGCTACAAATTTAAATGAAATTTCAACTCTTACTCTCAGACTCTGACTTTACTCTTTATAACATATACAATTTATCCTTCTAACGTACCCATTCTCCCTTGTTGACATCAGCTCCGTTCTCTATGAGCAACCTTACAATATCAGTGTGACCATTTTCTGCAGCCTTACAGAGTGGAATGCCCTTCAAAATATAGAAAAGAAAAACAATGAGAAAGTATAGTAATATATAAACCGCATTTTCTCTTCTTTAATGACCACTTTAAGGATATCTGGTTGAATCTGCTTTAAAGACAGCTACATTCTGCTACAAATTTAAATGAAATTTCAACTCTTACTCTCAGACTCTGACTTTACTCTTTATAACATATACAATTTATCCTTCTAACGTACCCATCCTCGTTTGTTGACATCAGCTCCGTTCTCTATGAGCAACCTTACAATATCAGTGTGACCATTTCCTGCAGCCTCACAGAGTGGAGTGTCCTTCAAAATATACAAAAGAAAAACAATGAGAAAGTATAGTAATATATAAACCGCATTTTCTCTTCTTTAATGACCACCCTAAGGATATATGGTTGAATCTGCTTTAAAGACGGCTACATTCTGCTACAAATTTAAATGAAATTTAAACTCTTACTCTCAGACTCTGACTTTACTCTTTATAACATATACAATTTATCCTTCTAACGTACCCCTCCTCTTTGTTGACATCAGCTCCGTTCTCTATGAGCAACCTTACAATATCAGTGTGACCATTTCTTGCAGCCTCAAAGAGTGGAGTGTCCTTCAAAATATAGAAAAGAAAAACAATGAGAAAGTATAGTAATATATAAACCGCATTTTCTCTTCTTTAATGACCACCCTAAGGATATATGGTTGAATCTGCTTTAAAGACGGCTACATTCTGCTACAAATTTAAATGAAATTTAAACTCTTACTCTCAGACTCTGACTTTACTCTTTATAACATATACAATTTATCCTTCTAACGTACCCATTCTCCTTTGTTGACATCAGCTCCGTTCTCTATGAGCAACCTTACAATATCAGTGTGACCATTTCTTGCAGCCTCACCGAGTGGAGTGTTCTTCAAAATATAGAAAAGAAAAACAATGAGAAAGTATAGTAATATATAAACCGCATTTTCTCTTCTTTAATGACCACCCTAAGGATATATGGTTGAATCTGCTTTTAAGACGACTACATTCTGCTACAAATTTAAATGAAATTTAAACTCTTACTCTCAGACTCTGACTTTACTCTTTATAACATATACAATTTATCCTTCTAACGTACCCATCCTTTGTTGACATCAGCTCCGTTCTCTATGAGCAACCTTACAATATCAGTGTGACCATTTCTTGCAGCCTCAGAGAGTGGAGTGCCCCTACCTAACTAGAAAAGAAAAACAATGAGAAAGTATAGTAATATATAAACCGCATTTTCTCTTCTTTAATGACCACCCTAAGGATATATGGTTGAATCTGCTTTAAAGACGACTACATTCTGCTACAAATTTAAATGAAATTTAAACTCTTACTCTCAGACTCTGACTTTACTCTTTATAACATATACAATTTATCCTTCTAACGTACCCGTTCTCCCTTGTTGACATCAGCTCCGTTCTCTATGAGCAACCTTACAATATCAGTGTGACCATTTCTTGCAGCCTCAGAGAGTGGAGTGTTCTTCAAAATATAGAAAAGAGAAACAATGAGAAAGTATAGTAATATATAAACCGCATTTTCTCTTCTTTAATGACCACCCTAAGGATATATGGTTGAATCTGCTTTTAAGACGACTACATTCTGATACAAATTTAAATGAAATTTAAACTCTTACTCTCAGACTCTGACTTTACTCTTTATAACATATACAATTTATCCTTCTAACGTACCCATCCTTTGTTGACATCAGCTCCGTTCTCTATGAGCAACCTTACAATATCAGTGTGACCATTTCTTGCAGCCTCAGAGAGTGGAGTGCCCTCACGAAACTAGAAAAGAAAAACAATGAGAAAGTATAGTAATATATAAACCGCATTTTCTCTTCTTTAATGACCACCCTAAGGATATATGGTTGAATCTGTTTTAAAGACGACTACATTCTGATACAAATTTAAATGAAATTTAAACTCTTACTCTCAGACTCTGACTTTACTCTTTATAACATATACAATTTATCCTTCTAACGTACCTGTCCTTCTTTGTTGACATCAGCTCCGTTCTCTATGAGCAACCTTACAATATCAGTGTGACCATTTCTTGCAGCCTCAGAGAGCGGAGTGCCCTGACAAAACTAGAAAAGGGAAACAATTAGAAAGTATGGTAATATATAAACCGCATTTCCTCTTCTTTAAAAACCACCCTAAGGATATATGGTTGAATCTGCTTTTAAGACGACTACATTCTGATACTAATTTAAATGAAAATTAAACTCGTACTCTCAGACTTTGACTTTACTCTTCATAGGATGTACAACTTATCCCTTTAACGTACCGATCCTCTTTTGTTGACATCGGCTCTGTTCTCTATGAGCAACCTTACAATATCACTGTGACCATTTCTTGCAGCCTCAGAGAGCGGAGTGCCCTCCCGAAACTAGAAAAGAAAAAACAAAGAGAAAGTATAGTAATATATAAACCGCATTTTCTCTTCTTTAATGACCACCCTTAGGATAACGTACCTAAGGATATATGGTTGAATCTGCTTTTAAGAAGACTACATTCTGATACAAATTTAAGAGCTAATGTCAACATGCATCAGACAAACAGCGGCAAGTCGCCCAAATTCGTTTTCTCTCCTATTTTCATATTTTGTAGCTCAATATGTCCTAATAATTGTGGTGTAGTTCTTTTGTGAAAATATATTTTAGTTTTTGAGAAATAATTTTCTTTCGTTCGACCGCTCAAATATACAAATTTTCACCCTGAATCACACGAGTTGTGTGACCTCATGTAACATATTTACTTGGCCGGTATTTCTGTCTGCATAATCCTTTGTTTTATCATCTAAACTTAATCCCCTGTCATTATTGAAGCTGGCTAAGAAATATTTATTTTTTGATGAATATTTCTGTCCGACATACAATTTCTATGTCGAAAAGTAGCATCGAAACAAAGACAGTTTTAACAATGACCGATATGACAGAATGTACTGAGCTTCTAGCTTTTAAAAGACAAAAGGATTGTTGTAAAGTTGCTGTAAAAGTTTCCTTGTGTATTTGTGTTGTTCTATCGTGAGACTACTTGTCTTGATGTATCTATGGAAATAACCTTAGAGCAGTTTCGGTCTGGGGAAAGCGGTTACACACAAAAACGTCCTTGCCCGTGGGCAAACGCTATTTATCATGGGTAAAAGGGCCAGTGTAACCACGACTATTGATGTATCTGGACATTTTAGTTTTCTGAATACAGTAATTCTTGGAAGGTTTTTATAGATATGCAAAGAGGGAAAAGAAAAACCCATCACTCGGTAATTTGGAGGTTGATTCATCTTTGAATTTATGTGTCACGCTTCTAACGCAACAAATATAATAATGTGGAGAAGATTTATGAAGTGCAAAATTAAATCTGGCTAAAATGTGGTAGAGCATAACTTGATCATCGAAACAGCTAATAAAATCATAAATAAACAAGGTAAGAGTGTTATGTTAGATTTCTTTACAAATTGTAGTGATTTATGCCAGTAAACGGTGGCGACAAGTAGGCACACCATGTATATTTCATAGTCGCTAGAATATTTTGCCGGACTTTGAGTTCGTCTCACGATAGAACAAAACAAATAGACAAGGAAATTTTTATAGTAACTTTACAACCATCCTTTTGTCTTTTAAAAGCTAGAAGCTCAGTACATTCTGTCATATCGGTCATTGTTAAAGCTGTCTTTGTTTTGATGCTTCTTTTCGACATAAAAAAAGTATTTCGGACAAAAATATTCACCAAAAAATAAATATTTCTTTGCCAGCTACAGCAATGACAGGGGATTAAGTTTAGATGATAAACCGAAGGTTATGCCGACAGAAATACCGGAGATCAAGAAAATTCGTTACACGAGGTCACATAACTCGGGTTATATTCAGGGTGAAATTTGCATACTTGAGCGGTAGAACGGGAAATATCATTTCTCGAAAACTAAAATATGTTTTTACAAAAAACTACACCACAAATATTAGGACATATTGGGCTACAAAACATGAAAGTAAGAGAGAAAACGAATTTTGGGCGACTTGCCACAATATTTCAAATTTTTGTTCAATGCATGCTGACATCCTCTCTTAAATAAAATTTAAACTCGCACCCTCAGACTCTGACTTTACTTTTCTGCTTTAAAGACGACTACATTCCGCTAGAAATTTAAATGAAATTTAAACTCTTAGTCTCAGACTCTGACTTTACTCTTTATAACATATATAAAGTTTATCCTTCTAACGTACCCATCCTTTGTTGACATCAGCTCCGTTCTCTATGAGCAACCTTACAATATCAGTGTGACCATTTTTTGCAGCCCCAGAGAGTGGAATTCCCTTCAAAACATAAAAAAGAGAAACAATGAGAAAGTATAGTAATTTATAAACCGCATTTCCTCTTCTTTAATGGCCACCCAAAGGATATATGGTTGAATCTGCTTTAAACACGACTACATTCTGATACAACTTTAAATGAAATTTAAACCCGTACTCTCAGACTATATGGTTAAATCTGCTTTTAAGACGACTCCATTCTGATACAAATTTAAATGAAATTTAAACTCTTACTCTCAGACTCTGACTTTACTCTTCATAACATATACAACTTATCCTTCTAACGTACCACTGCTTTGTTGACATCAGCTCCGTTCTCTATGAGCAACCTTACAATATCAGTGTGACCATTTCTTGCAGCTTCAGAGAGTGGAGTGTCCTTCAAAATATAGAAAAGAAAAACAATGAGAAAGTATAGTAATATATAAACCGCATTTTCTATTCTTAAATGACCACCCTAAGGATATATGGTTGAATCTGCTTTTAAGACGACTACATTCTGATACAAATTTAAATGAAATTTAAACTCTTACTCTCAGACTCTGACTTTACTCTTTATAACATATACAATTTATCCTTCTAACGTACCCGTTCTCCTTCGTTCACATCAGCTCCGTTCTCTATGAGCAACCTTACGATATCAGTGTGACCATTTTTTGCAGCCTCACAGAGTGGGGTGTCCTTCAAAATATAGAAAAGAAAAACAATGAGAAAGTATAGTAATATATAAACCGCATTTTCTATTCTTAAATGACCACCCTAAGGATATATGGTTAAATCTGCTTTTAAGACGACTACATTCTGATACAAATTTAAATGAAATTTAAACTCTTACTCTCAGACTCTGACTTTACTCTTTATAACATATACAATTTATCCTTCAAACGTACCCGTTCTCCTTCGTTCACATCAGCTCCGTTCTCTATGAGCAACCTTACGATATCAGTGTGACCATTTGTTGCAGCCTCACAGAGTGGGGTGTCCTTCAAAATATAGAAAAGAAAAACAATGAGAAAGTATAGTAATATATAAACCGCATTTTCTATTCTTAAATGACCACCCTAAGGATATACGGTTGAATCTGCTTTTAAGACGACTACATTCTGATACAAATTTAAAAGAAATTTAAACTCCTACTCTCAGACTCTGACTTTACTCTTTATAACATATACAATTTATCCCTTTAACGTACCCCTCCTTTGTTGACATCAGCTCCGTTCTCTATGAGCAACCTTACAATATCAGTGTGACCATTTTTTGCAGCCTCACAGAGTGGAGTGTCCTTCAAAATATAGAAAAGAAAAACAATGAAGAAGTACTGTAGTAAATACCGGTGCAGCGCTCTACCAACTCTTCGCTGCACCGGTATCGCAGAGGTCATGGGTTCAAATCCCGTACGGACCTGAATTTTTTTCAGGTCCTATTTTCAACTACTAGTTCAGTAGTGTTCTTAGCTGCGAGGATCTCCTAAATTCGTTCTGTAGTAAATGGTTGAGTCTGCTTTTCGGACGACTATACTCCTCAAATGTGTATATGATAATAATTCAATTTAATGGTTAGAAGGGGCACTAAGAATGGAACAACACAATGAGCCCCCCTCACCACAGACATGGCTTCTGTCCCTTCCTGCTTAACCATGAGTTTCAAACCTTTTAAGACACTTTTCAGTTCCGGTCCGATCGAGAGACGTTGTTAGGGGTTTTAACTTATATAATACTCGTTTCGGAAATAATATGCATCTAACTTTTCGAGCGACAAAATTAGTTTTGGAATCAAAGATAGTTTGATTATTAAACGTGATAAGAATAATGGCTGGAAAATGAAACCTGAACTGGGAGCAATTTTCAACGGTAAATATCATTCGAAATATAAGTGTTCTTTTCCTGAAAGTATTGTTGAATTGAAGAATAAATATATTTCCAAATATTTTCTGACCAGGTTTGCCTTTCTTTTTATCCATCCCGTCCAGTTAAGCCGCGAGTTTTTTACTTCCTGTCCAATTGAAGTACACTATTTGGCGCTTAAAATATTTACATAAAAACTAAATAATCTAAGTAATACTCGATTCGGGTTAAAACAAACATATTACTTTTGAGCGACAAAATTAGCTTTAGAGTTAACGATACTTCCATTCCCAAATTTTAAACGTGATAGGACTTAGAGCTGAAAAATAAAAACTGAACTTAAAGTAGTTTTTGCAATGCTAAATCTAAGTGTTCATTCACAATTCAGATTTCTTTTTAACTCGTGAGACGGACTTCGGCAAAAAGTTGGGACTGCTTGCAGTCAGACAAAAACTAAAATTGTGTTTTTCCCATGAGGAATGCAACCTCAGGCCTTGCGGTATTATGGTCAACTGACTCTCTGCCACTCTACTACTGAGAACGCATTGGTGACCTTATCCTGTATCTACTAAGGTCATACATGTTTCAATGAAAACTACTTAGATCAGCAACGTAGTGTGTGTGTAAATAGATTGAGAAAGATGTTAAGTTTTGGGCTCGACTTTTCTTTTATTCAACAATTAAGATTAAAACTTGCAATGTGAATGTGGCTGCCATTTTTATGAACTTTGTTGCCATTCGTGTTCAGGCACTGTTTTCAAGATTGCCATCTTGCATGAAAAACATCAACTAAAATGTTTTGAAAGAAATCTGTACCAAGGTTTTATGACCATACAAGTTATATTAACCAAAGGTAAAAAATCTCAAAAGAAAGGAAACATGTTTTCGCTTAGAAGCTAATAGTACAATAATGAAAGAAGACTGAGCTCTTGCGAAGATTAAAGTTCACAGTTTGAAATCCTTCATAACTGATTAAAAAATCACGTGTGTACAGTCGTCAGCTGGTTTATACATGCATTCACCTCACCTTGTGAAACATTGTGTAAAGTTCTGCAAATGAACAAAGATTCTGCCCTCAAGGATCTAACTTCCAACTATACATAACAAACACACCTGGCTCTCTTTATTCTCCACTTCAGGACGACGACTCTGAACAGAGGCATCATCTGGTAATGGTAGGTGAATATGCGAGTTCCCTTGTTCAGAAAAGAGCCTCTGTCCTTGGTTTAAACCTTCCTCTGAATCAAAGACATCTCTCTCCACACCTCCATCAGTCTTATTTGGTTCCATAGATGACATTTCCCATCTTGAATGCTCATTCTTTCCAGCATCTTCATTCTCACAAAGATCAAACCAACTGGCGAGACCTTCCCCTTCAATAATTGCAGGCAAAATATCATGGTTCACGTAAGTTTCCTTGTTAATGACATTATGCAGATACTGAGTTGGTTTTAATAACGGAACAGGTTCTTAAGATTTTCCTGCTTTAGAATAATCCTAGTCTTAGATCCAACTTTCTGGGAAGTTAAGGGATGGCTTATAAATGGATGGGATTGTATTTGGAGGACATGGAAGCTGCATTGACTAAGTTTGAAAGTGAGCTAATAAAAAATACACCACTTTTCTCAATTATTGCACTTCTTTGATTTAATGCTACAGCTCTCACTACTGGTATTTCTTCACACAAGTTTCTGATAACTTAAAATAGAGTTTAAAACCAAATCTCTACCAATATAACCCCAGATTGATATCAATTAGAAATAAATGTACAATTGCCTATGAACACATAATTCCTAACCATAACCTGTAGTTCCATAACACTCTTCTATTTTTGTGTAACCAATTCTTGAAATAAATATGAAAAAATTCGGTTTAAGGCCTACAACAGGAATTTTTCAACACTGAATAATTATTTTTATCTGCATATAAACGAATTTTTCCGGCAAGGAGAGATGAAAATAATTGTACTCTCATTTGCATCCGAATATTTACCTGATTCTTCCCATTCCTGACCTGAGTGTATTTCCTCATCACTACACTGTGGAGGGGCCATGTTTAATTTGCTGTCTCTGTTCCACAAAGGGTTGCTTAGGGGAGATTGAGCTACCTCTTGAGTAATTGGTCCAGGATGTGTTGTTGATTGCTGGTTTGAAGTTACAGAAATAATTGATTCTGAAGGTTTTGGTATAGCATTTGTGTAAGGTGGTTTAAAAAGTGCATCATCCTGGTACTGACTTTCTCCATTCTCTACATTTAGGGCAGGAATATCACGACAAGGCACTGGGGTATCATCACGTGATGCTGACAGAGTATGGGAGGTTCTTTCTTCAGAATAGAGAACCCATGAAGACCTTAAAGTCACTGCTGGTAAACCACTTGCACTGACGTCATCGGAGTTTAGACGAGGATCTGTTTCAATCTTTAACACTGAGCCATTTTTTTTCTCTTCATCCATACCATATGCATCAGATGGAATGACTTGCTGAAATTGGCTCGCAGTTTCTAGGCTACTTGTATCAAGTAATCATGGTGAAAACCCTGCACAAGACAAACTCCTGTTTTCCAAGACGTTCTGCCCATCTCGATACACAACAATGGCTTGACCAGCTGTTGGGTTGTTTGGACGAAATTGATGCCCTGTAACCATACTTTCTGCAGCTTTAACAACTTCTGGATATAGATCCTCTTCTTTATTATCTTTCACTTCCCTTGTAGTGTCACTTGGTTTATCTTCCAGAGGAGGTGAAAAACTCTTTTCTGGGCAATCGTCTGGGGCAGTGCTTGTCTTCCAAGTTTCCTTTACATCATCTCCTGACTTGGATGGCAATTCTAACAGAACAAAAGGAAAACAGTAAGAACACTTGGATACTCGCTTTCTTAGAGGGAAATGGTGTTCTCTCACTTTACCATTTCACCACAAATGCTCAAAAATAGACTCAACATTGTGGTGCTATATCTCTACCTCTATCTCTCTTTAGAGAGGAATAAGAGTTCAGGCAACATTGCAACACTTTACATAATAAATGAAAGATCATATTTTCCTCTCACAGGGTCAATATCAACTGAAGTTTCAAGCTATAAACTCAAGGACACAACTTCATTACCTATCAATACACAATGTTAAACACTGCAATGTGCGCTATTACCTTGTTACCTGATTATTACACATTGCAAATCGCTGCCATGTGCATTTTCTGTGCTTACTCAATTACCCAATGAAAAACTCTGCTATGTACGTTTTCCTACAATACTTTTAACGCTTTATTACATGATTAATCAAAACTATAACAAAATTCTCGAATGTCATTGGTCATCACCACCCAAACAGAGCACTATGTAGGACAGTGTACGCGTCATGCTTGTAATTGGACAGTGTAATAGGACAGTTCAAGGGACATGCAACACGTGATGCCTGTGTAAGTGGACAAAACGCGTCATGTGCGCGTGCTTTTTTCTCGCATTTCGCCGAGTTGATTGTTGTTGTTGTTGTTGTTTTTCTGAAAACGTATAACCGATGATAATTTTTTTTCTTCAAATTTTGTCAAACTTTTGATTTATTGGTAACAGGATTTTGTGTCGTCCAATTCTGTCCGTAATCATACAAGTGACCGACAAAATCGGACGACCGCGAGGCCGGAGTCTGATTTGTTCATCACCAGTGATTAAAAAATCGTGATTAACAAATTGGACTCCCACTTCACGGTCTTCCAATTTTGTTAATCACTCGTATGATTACAGACCGAACTGGACTCCACTCCGTCCTATTATTATTATGTAAAACATCATCATGTGCTTTTGCCAAAGTTATATTGTTACGGTAACAAAAAAACCTGATCTGCTTTTAAATAAAACCAGCAGGGAACACCTTATTTCAACTAATAGGTTGGAATTATGGAAATCAACAATCCTGACAAAGGCAGCATATGTCTTTCAAACAAGAAGTTGTCTCTAATCATCCCAGCTGGAATGTAAATGTTTGTGTGAAAAAGTTTGCAGACGACATTTTAACAAAGTGTTAATATAAACCCTCATAGTAACACATAACAGTTGCCTTTTCCATGTAAGTGATTTTTCTCTGGGTCTCAAGAGCAACTTTTTTCCTTAAAGACAACTGAGTCAATTATGAAACGGGGGAATCTATCAAATGAAAACTAAAATCACCAACCATTGGGAGTTTCACTCCAGTAATCTGGATCAGACAGTGAAGTGCCGTCATCTTCAGACAGCATATATGGAGAATTCTCAGTATCAGCGAAGTAGTTTTCTTCCCTCTCTTGGGGGCATGTCTGTTGATTGCCCTTAAAATTAAAGGAAAAACCTGTGATAAAGAACAAATAACATCAATGAGTGGGCTTCGTGAGCCCTTAAGTCACACAAAATTTTTTTTTTAAATCATCATGAGGGGGTAACAGGAATAAGATGTAGAAAAATTAAGATCAAATCAACTTCGTAATTATCTATAACTAAGAAATAGTTACATCCAAGGAAGAACAAGCATGGAGTACCCACAAAAGATCACAAATAGGTAGAGTTCTTCGACTGCAAAAAGTGCATCACCTGTTCATTTAAAATCATTTCAACTAACCCAATTTTCTGCACAGCTTATCAACAGCATTTGAAAGTTTCAACCATATATCCGTATTAGAATGAACTGGGTGGAAGCTTTGCTCTGATAACCTGTAAATACCTCAATATTAGCAGATATACAATGTATGTAATCAAACATGCAGCTTGTATGGTGCTGGAGTGGAATGTAGTGCTGATAAGGGAAATCCAGAGTTAGTTTAAGTTATTTATCCTCACAGTCACTGTCTGTCTGCATGTCTAGCTTTCTTTTTAAAAGCAGAACTTTCAAATTTTGTTACATACTTGCAGGGCATGAAATTAATTTTTTTTCTGATAGCCACTTGGCTCCTTAATTTTTCAAAGTGGTAGCCAATTCAAAAAAAGTTGGTCGCCATTTTTTTAGACAAACAAAACCTTTCTTTACGCTGTCAGCGTACTAGATAGACCCTCCAAAATTAAGTTAGGAAAGAGATGGTTAACGTGCTACAAAGCGGACACTAGGATGGATAATATTCAACATTCAAGCTCACCTAAATCCAAGATGGCGTCTAGTTATCGATTGATATGCATGTGCTGCGTTTTGGAAACAAACTTAACGAGGAAATTTGTCGTGGATTTATCTTTGCAAATCTTTTTAATTCACTATATCTCTAGGTATGGTTATGATGAAGCCTTCTAGTCGCCAGTTTGGCGACTAGTTTTCAGGATTTGGTCGCCAAAGTGAAAAATTTAGTCGCATTGGCACCTGTGTTAGGTGCAATTTCACATCCTGACTTGTGTATCAATAAGCAAAGGTCCAAAATACTAAAAACTATGCTTTTCTATAGAGACCAAAATAATTTTGACTCTGAAACACTGATCTCTGAATACAATTTAATGGATTTACCATTTCACTATATCTTGGAAGTGTTGCGCCAGGTCTTCAAACTCGTCATCCATGACAGTATTCTCTCCTGGTAAAGATCTGTCTTGACAACCATCATTCAGAGCACCTGTTGCTTGCCCTATCAATTCATATCAAGAGTACAGAACATTGAGGCACACTACTACTACAATGTATATGACTTCTCTTTACTATTCTCATCCTAAATAATCAAAACTTAAACAATCACTTATACTATAGGTACAAGAGATGACTGTTGAAAACCCAAAATGAATTTAAGGGCCAAGCTACATTATCAGCCAACATGGCTGTATTAAACTCAACTTGCAATGTGAAGAGTTTACTGCTGTACGTACTTTAGTACTGCTGATAGGCTCAGAAAGGAGCCATTTTTGTTGTCTCGTTGATATGAACGTGCTCGTGGAAAATTATTTGCGTAAATTTTCGTGTAAGAATGTTTTTTAGAATTGTAGCCAGCTACTAGGAAATTGCTCAGGCTTTGCCTGCTAATTTAGTCCATTAGAGCTAAAATATATATATATCTGTGTATTGTTTGTAGGACTCCTTCATTGCTTTAGATAATACAAATCAAAACAAGAAGGTTGTTTCTTCACTATGGAAATGATAGCCTTCAAAGTGCCTATGTTAATAATGTGTGTAACATAATTTAGTCAGATTCACCTAAATTTTGCTTGGCGGATGAGCTCTGATTCGCGAATGAGCTCTGATTGTACACTTGTTTTACCATCTCAGCAAACAGATTAGACACCCCTTCTAAGCCATGCTTCATTGCTTTAGAGACACATTTGTTTATCATGTCTTCATACTCAAAGTTGGTTTCACCCAAAAATTCATAAGAGTCTGCAAACACACGCACTTCAACCACACCTGGTTCTTGGGCAGCTGAATTTTAGAGATAGAAGACAGCTGTTACAATTAAGTGACAGCAGCTTTAACCCAGTATGACATCAAATATGTGAAAAATAGCTGATCCTGACCAGTACACTGTGATTCATAATAAAGCTCATAGCTATTTTCCAGGCTCCACTTTTGACTGATCCTTTAATGACAATTTACGTAAAATGTGCAAGGATCAGTTGATCACTCATATAAACCATTTAATCTGAATTTGATATTCATAATTTATCTGAAAGTTTACAAAAACTTCTTCACAAAGAAAAAGGAATGTTTTTCTTCTTTCACAAACTGACACTCATTTTGTTTGGATCATAAAAGAGTAGTGGAAGTCAAGGTAAAAATGTGACGTGCAAATAAACAATCTATGTCATATTCGTAACTTAACGTTATAGATAGTTACCTGGAATTTTCCCTTCCAAGGTTAACTTGTTAAACTTTGTTAAAACTACCACCTCTTTTCCAAAATTGGCATATCCAGATTGAATGTGCTCTGGAAGTTCTTCTTTCAAAGATATCTGGAAATCCCCTCCACCCTGCACACGCAAAATTATGTTACATAACATCAGAGAGCTGTTTTAAAATTCATTGCATGATGCCAATATACCACAAACAATCCTTTCGGGCTCCCAAAGTGCATTTTATAAAGCTCAGATTACTTTTTCATACCATAGAAACAAGAGGGAGATAAAACAATCAAAACTTACCTCTAAAGGACCTGATGAAGGACAGATCTTACAAACCACTAGAAAAAGTAGGAAACATAACAAAATATAATTTTCACTGTCAAAAGAATGATACTATCAAATTGAATGATAACTATTAACCATTACTAAAATCAGAAGGTTTAAATGTTTCAAGAAAAATTAGTTTACAGTCAACCATGCCTGAAAACAAGCACCCTAGGAAAGTTCCATGAATGCCCTGTATAGATAATCAAAATCAAATCTATATTCTTTATTCTGAGCCTTAAATGTATGTTAAACTTCATTAATTACAAAAATTTTAGACTGGAAACTGTGATATAGCAATTACATGTTACAGTGTTAATATCCTGGATAGATGAAAAAAATAGAGGAACTTAAAATGCAAACTTACACCCTTCTTGTTCAACATTCTGGTTAGGTTCCTCAACATCCATCTGGGGATGAGCTGTAAATTTTGCAACAATGAGACTGGTAAGGGACATGAACACAAAATTCAATTCATGTCTCATGGCATGTGATATTTCATTGATACCATTGGTGTGCCCTTAAAGGTTCTTATAACCCACTAAGGAGAAAACATGCGTGAACAGAGCTGACCAGTGGAATAAATATGCAAGAAAAATGTTTAAGGGAAGTTTTGAAAAATTAGGATTTCATCAGAGGATTTTTTAGTCCACTCATGGTTAGAGCAAATTGACCAGCAAAGTTTCAATAAAATCACCATCCCCTTTACTAAAAGTCTTAAGAAGTGCTAAGAAATACAATTATGTGAAATAACAAATATGAACATGGGGTCAAATTCGCCTTTTTTCTGAAAGGACACTGGTACAACTGTCACTTGCAAAAATCAGGAAAATTGCTAGATTTAAAGCAAATATCAATCAAAACAGGTTGTTCCTTCCAAACAAATTACACCATCATGAAGGATCAGTTTTTAAACTATGTTATTCAGAAGATGATTGATATGGTAAAACTGCCTCAGCCTCGAAACTGCCTGAAGCTGCTGATGGACAGGATTTAGCACCATGTGACAACTTTGTACAAGTACACTTATGGGAAACACATTTTTGCATAGTTTAAGAATGAAGTACTATATGACAATAAAATAAACACCAGATTTTCTTCCCTTGATAAATGATCCCTTGCTTTGGAAACCTACAGGTACTGATGAAGTCATCCATTTTATTTTGGGGGGGGATTACTTGTTTGCTTAATTTTTACAGAATGTTTTAAATTTGACTCTTGAATGTAGTCTTATTAATACTGATCTTCAACTTGATTGGTTAAATGTTCTTCATTCTTATGAAGCTGTAAATTGCTTTGTAAAACGGTACAAAATCCTATCTTATAGCTGTTGATCTTATATTTTACTCCAACTAAAATCTCTTTTTTCTCCAAATCAGTTCTCATCAGTCGCATTTTCAGTTCAAAATTGAATTTTATGTAGTGAACAGCTTCATTTGTGTGCCAACTGTAACAATGAATGTAGTTGATTCATTACTTTTATTATATAGGTGATGCATAGTGGTTGAATCTTTTTAATCAACAGCAGATTTAATATTGAATTTCATAGCTCCAATGAACTTTTAGTTTTCATAATGGAATGATTATCATTGAAACTGCAAGCTCACACTGGTCTTAATTGTTCAACAATGTGGTTGGGTTTATCAACTTCCATGCAGGAATGAGCTATAAATTTTATAAACAATTAGACTGGTGAGGGACATGAAAGCAAAATTTAATTTAAGCTTCATGGCATGTGAAATTTCATTACTACCATTGGTGCACCCACAAAGGTACTAAGTAAACCCACTAAAGAGAAAACATGCATGAACAGAGCTGACTAGGGAATAAATATGTAAGAAAAGTGTTACAGGGAGTTTTATGACAAAATGGGATATGTCATCAGAGCATTTTTTAGTCCACTCCTGGCTAATAAAATTCAAATCCCTGGCACAGTTTTGAGAAAATTCCCCATGCCCTTCAAAAAAATTCTTAAGAGGCTAAGAAATAAAAATAATTTTAAATGAACAATTATGAACATAGGTTTCAATTTGACTTTTTTTTTAAAACATAAATTGATAGATTGTACCATTTTCATTTGCAAATATCAGGAAAATGGATTTACCCATCCAATAAGTCATTTAACCCCTTAACTTCCAGAGGAGATTAACACACAACTTCTCCCTATAAAAATCCAAACATTATCCCGCAAACAGGTAATGAGAATA